CCCACAATCTCTACAGCAGTCACATCTTCCACTTTCAATTGTGTTTGCTCCATCAGTGAAAGTAGAGGCACCTCTATCCTTTGCAGCAAGTCAGCACATAGTTCTTCAAACTGAGACCTAAGGAACAGAATAAAATTAATTAAAACATGCCTGTCCCACCACTATGATTTCCTGGTGTTTTTGTTTCTAAATCGATTCTGACCAGATTTGTTAAATACATTGCAATAGGAGACTTGAGGCTAAGCTCCTGTGAGAGGACTGAGGTGACAGCAATAGACAAGGCAGTGCATAATAAACATCTGCTCTACAGATTTTCCTATGCCGTTATGAATGCAGTTAATCAATTAAACTGCAAAACAAATGTATTTTTGCCTCTGAGCAGAGATTACAGATAACACAAAAAGCAATCGTGCTTCCTTTACTATGAAAGCCTACTCCCTAAGTACTGGGGACTAAATACTCACTTGATATTAGTTACAGGACTAGCAGTAACTACAAATGAAGTTGTGCCTGTGAGCGTGTATGTGTTTAAAAAGAGACCTTTATTTACACCAGGCCATTATCAACTCACCCCCCAACAGCATTGTTTCTGCCCTCCATTTCTGTTAATATCCACAGTACAGTAAAGACAGAAAAAAGAAAAAAGCTCCATTTGTTGCTGCCTTAAGAATGGTATGGAATTTAGGTTATCTGAATAGGGAGGAGACCTTAATGCCCAGTCAACCCCACTGGTCTTGTTTGCATGCATCTGTCTGTGGTTTTAAGAACGTGTCATTCTACAAAGAGAACCCTTGCTTATCATGCACATATTACACTTGAGCAGTGCATCTCTTTGCTCAGGTAGCTGAACATTACATTTCAGCCTTAGTTATTCTAGCATTAAAAGAAAATGCCTCAGCTGCTCAGTACTTGCCCTGAAATCTACCACAACAAGTCTCTTTAGGACACGAGAAGCAGCAGTTTAAGAAACACGGCCAGCAAAGCAACTGCCTGTCTTAGACCTCACCTGTTCATTTTTCCAGATACATCAGTATCGTTCATGAAACACTCAATATTTAGGGGAATGTCTGTGCTATTTGAACTCATTAGTTTCTTCAGCTTCTCACACTCCTGATACAGACGAAGAAGAGCTCGAACTTTTGCTTTTGGATCCAGTTTGTACTTTGATTTTATTTCTGCACAGAAGTAATCTACTAACTTTCCATCAAAGTTTCTTCCACCTAAGAAAGGGTCAAATGCTGTCCCAAGCACCTGGTTTGAAAGAACACAATTTAGTCTTACATGCAGTGAAAATCAAATTTTGTAGCAGTCTTCCAACATCAGCAAGCCTTTGTTTCCAAAAAAAGTCAGAGAAAATTCAGCCTGCGTTCCAACACACAGGATCTATTTTAATCAGCCACATCAGTCAAAAATTGGTCTTTAGTTTCACAGTGGAAGCCAGCCTAAATAACTAGATGACAATCCTAAGCAGCCACAATCTAAGCAGTAACTCATCTTTAATGCATACACACATTCATTTAGATAAAACAAACTGAGTGATTCCAACTGTATTGTGTACCTTTGCCTGGTGTACACCAGGCAATTTACTGCCTCGGTTTAAAACCATTCTAATGAAGGGCACTGATAAAAGTAGTCTACATCTGTCATCTCTTTGCCACTGCACATGCACTAAACTATTTCAAAACTTATTTAAGCAAAGCAGGGTTTACAGATCATTTGATTCTTATGTTTCATAAAGCCTTTTATTTTCAACTTAGTTTTACTACCTTTAGTTTACTCTTGTTAAATGCACAGGCTGATATTTGAAACGCAGAATGTCCCATATCAACAAACACGACTATCCGTGGCTTCTCTTCAGGAGCTGGAAGGTCTTGTTTATAAATTCCATAGTTCAGAGCCACTGCAAAACAAGTATCAGATAATAACAATGTAATCAAGTGAGTCTCCAAGTACACACCAGCCATCCTTCCGAACATGAGCTATAGGATCAAAAGCACCAAGAGAAAACCAGACTTGTACTAAACATAGTATAACCTATGCAAGTTCTTACCTATACATAAGTTGTATTCTGTTAACATATGCCCTAGAATCTGAAAAGCAAAAAAAAAAAAAAAAACCAACCTCCTTCAAACACGTATATGCTCTATCCCTAAACGCTTAAACAAAACTAGAAGCAATGACCCTGCTTGGGGGTTATCTATTTTGATCTCAGTTTATCAACATCTCAGTCTTTGGCTTCTCCTAGGTATCAGAAATACAGTGTTTAAGTGTTTTGTATTTACAAGGAATACCGCAGTTATGGAGGTTTTGTCCAAGAATGCTATGAATAGGCAGCAGAGGCTTGCAAGAGAGAATCTCAGTCTAAGCAGGAAATCAGACAAGAACAGTTTGTGAAGTACATTCAAAGTGTGGAAGCCAATGGGGCATGTAAACACCAGATGACACAGTCAAGGGACAGACCAGAAACTTTGCAACAGCATTCTGGATGGATACCAGTGTCAGAGCTAGAACAGGGCTGAAGCAGTAACAGATGAAAAACACAAGCCTAGAGAGTTTTTCAGCTACGTCAGTGTAGGAAAGGCTGAGATTTTCGGCATGGCAGACAGAACATGCAAGACATCTGAGCACTATGAAAAAAATCCCATGTTGAAGATAATAGCCCAAGTTACAGGCCACATTATCAAGCAAGGGAATTGGAGCATTAGAAAGGTGTAAGGAAGGCTGTGAATAAGTGCTCTAAAGAGTAAGGTTTTATAGTCACAGTGACATCCTCTTGCATGACAAGAACGCAACACTGGCTCCCTCTCTCACATCAGAACAGTAGTTCCACACCATCTGGAACAAGGACAGCCTGGTTTCCCACTGAGCAGAGGTTTGAGATTTATGAATTGTGGGGTCTAATACATTTCTCCCTGCAGCTGGCACACTCATTTTCACCTGTGCGGATTCTCTGCAGTCTATAAAAACCCACTGTCAGCATCACAGTAGTCCCTCCTGCAGCCAAGTCATTAACAGGTGCTTCAAGAACAGAATCTCTAATTTCATGTAGTATTTCCAAGTGCTATACCCGATACCTAAATTTTGTTGAATTGTGTGTTGGTTTCCTGTTTCATTTCATGTTTATATTCTTGACTTTATATTCAGACTGAACGCACTGTGTTTGTTTCCTAGCTAAAATGAATTTATGAACAGAACTTGATAAATCACAGCTGGAGGCAGCAGCTGCATTTGCCTTTTATTACAACAAAGGGAAATAAACTATTTTTCTTTTCTGCCCTCTTATAAATCAGGACCTCTTCCCCACATATACTATCAAAGATTCTTAAATTTAAAATGTTAGAAAACCTTGAATAGTACTGATTCCCCTACAAGCCAAAGAAATCAAAATGAGAAGTGCTATATGCTACACATGCTGGTGGTGCTAAGGATATGAAAGAGCTTATCTGCATTCCAGAGAACTTTTCATCTCAATGGAAAGATTCTAAAGATCCTTGCTAACAAGTCCTGAAAAGTTTAAGGTTCACGTATAGCCAGAGACTGAGCTGATAAGAGTGTTCTGCCAAATAAACAAAAAAGGAAATGACAATGCCTTTTGCAGCGAGGCTTTTAGTTGACACATATTGCCCCATCATGACAGGTCATCTCTGAATCAGGCCTGCAGGGTTCTCTCTTTCAAAAAAGAAAGGGGTAGGAAAGGTTCTTTTTCAATGCCAAATTAACTGTTTTTGGGGGGGGAAACTGATTTCTTCATAAATATTTTTAAAATGGAATTTTAACTTAAAAGCAGAGGGCTGGATATTTGCCCTTCCTCATCCTCTCTCTACAGCAGGACTGCACGTCTCTTGAGTGAACACTGCAGCTGAGATTACACACACAAACATGGGACATAAGTGTATCTACTGTGGGATCCACACTTACCCAACTCAAGAATTCAAACTGCCACATGCTCTCTATAGCACTCTGCTATAGAGATGAGAGGCTAAGCTGAAGTTAGATAACACTAATACACACCTACGGGTTTTTCTACTGTCAGACTTGTTCCTCATTAGGTGTAAATACACACAGTGCTCAATTAAAAATTCTTAATATTGATCAAATGGCAATGTCCACTAGTAACCCTACACTTTACCACAGATAAGTATCTGAAAGTAATTCTAGAAAACATCAAGATACCATTGCATCAATGCATGTTTAAGATTTTACTTCTTATGAATCCACCTGGCGCTCAGCAAAAATGCTGGCATGAAAGATTCCTGTTTCTCCAAACAAAATAAAACCCTCCCTATTTTTCTGACCAATTCAAATACATACAGAAATGTGGGAAGACTTAGGATAAGAATGCTTATTTAAAAAAACACCAAATAAGCTATTTGTTCTGACAATTATTTTTAGTGTCCTGAACACATCAGCAAAGGCAATTAAACAGTTATTCTTTTTTTTTTTTTAATTCACAATTACACTGACAAAAAGCTTTGGAAACTATTACGTGATCAAGATTAAGCACTCTTACAGGAAATTCCTTGAATAATCTGATAACTGTTCATTTTAGGTTTTTTTCCACTGAAATCTGGACCCTAAATGGATGAGTAGTCTAGGCATGCGTAACGACTCTTAAGCAAGCACACAGGAATGTAACTATTGCTAAAGCTTCATTTTATATGCACATGCATATGGAGGATATGACGTGAAAGATTTTAAGTTAAAGAGGAGAGCAACAAGTGTTTAGAACAAGTCTGCTTAGTGCCTGATTTTTAAAGCCAGCCTTATTTCTTAGAATACGTAAATGTACCTTTCACCATATACAGCTTTGCAGAAACCGTTATTCTACCATACCTACCTGCTGTCATGTCATTCATTAATCTAAGACAGTTTAATCCAACAATCTGAGCTGCATCCAGAACAGATCTCCTTTCAGCATCTGTGAAAAAGGATGGAACCTGAAGAAAGCAGGTAAGAACAAAAGTTATTTCCAGAAAATGATACATTACAAAACACTGTTCATTTGAAAATCTGCATTTAAAAATTTTCTGTTCTGTATCTTTAAGGAAGACACTCACTGCAAGATTTTAACATACAACTACTGTACTGAATTCAGGCTTCAAACATTCTGCTCAATCACACTAGATAAAATTAAGCTAGCATCAGCTAATTTACACTAGTACACACTAGCAAAAAGCAAATAAAATACTTGCATACAAATGGTGGAAACTCGAGCAAGAAAACAGAACTTTAATTACTGGTGCAAAATATGCAACCAGGTATTATGGAGAGAGACAAAGAACCACCACAGTCGCAACTAATACAAGTATTTCTGTCCAAGAAGGAAAAAAGAAGCACAGCAATATTACAGATGACAGCTACAAAGAAATAAGGGATAATACAAATAAAAGAGAATCTGTTTTGGCCGAAGTGACTTCAGGCAAAAAAACAGTAAGAGATTCTGAAGTAGCACATTACTGAAAATTTCCTACAGAACTCCAGCCTTGGACAGAGACCTCTGATGCCCTCGGAGACAGAAACAACATCATTAGAAGACATTAACTTTCCAGATGTTGACTGCAGAACAAATTCTTCTAATAACAGAGCCAAACATGCCTAGATGCAACAGGAGGCCGACTTCTTCAGAGCGTCACTGTGCACAGACAGGTGAATGTTATTTTATACTTGAGCATTGCAATGGAATGACTGTTCTTAATCTGAGGTCACTTTCCGTGCAGTCACAAATTGAAAAAAGTTACCTTACTGAAAGAATGACTAAAAATAGGACAGAAAGTTCTCAGCTGCCAAAGGGCAAACTTTGATTTAAAAAAGGTATCTTCTTTGTGTAGTGTTCTCAGACATGGAATCTACTCAGCAGGGTACACACCTGGATCCAGAAAATGCTGTTGGACCCCAAAGTTCAGACACCACCAAGAGAATGAGTTCATGAAATAGTTCAGGGACTGCAATATGGAAGTGGCCTGGGATTTCTTTAAGTCTAAAGCTAGTTAGAATTAATCCCTTTGTAAGTGCTTATATGGTTTCTTTTTCACTGTACACAAACAGACACAGAACGCCCTCCATATCTGAAGTTCAAAGTCATACTCTTCCCATACACTACAATTACTTACAGAAATAACACAGTCTGTTACTGGCTTTTTCAGGTTACTCTCTGCAGTCTCCTTTAATTTAGTCAACAACATAGCTGAAATTTGTTCCACACTGAAGATGTGTTCTTCATCCATGTACATCACCTAGATAGAAAAACACAGGAAACGATTCCACAGTTTCAACCAGAAGAAAAACTTACATTTAACATTTTGGATAGGCTGCTGCCTAATACTCTTTCAATCCTGAGAAGTGTAATTAGTCCATTATAAGACTGGTTTTACAATTTAACTTGCCACTTGAACATCTACAGAAGCAATAATTTATTTTCACACAGACTTAAGCATCAAGAACCATATTAACTAAATAGATGAAGAAAACGGCTGGGAGTTTCAAGTGATTTAGAAAGTGGCATGACTGTAAAGCATGAATAAGACATGGTCCCACAGCATTATGCCAAAAAAGTGAAAATAACCATCATTTAAAAGCTGCTGACAACTGCAGAAAGGTATAGAATTACGTGCTTTCTCCCCCTGACATTTTCACATTTCTGTTCAAACATTTGAATCATATGAGTTTTGTCAAAAAATTAACTCCCCTAAAAGCCTAACCACCAAGATGATGCTTTTGAAATGAAGAACTACACATCAAAACTTCACTATATGCATATAAAGCTATAAGCTCAAAATACAAAGCTCAATAAAAAGTTAATTCTCATGCTGCTCCCTCCTGAAAATTACTAAGGAATCACCAGTTTTCTGTGTAATAGAATAAATGCCAGTAACAAAGGGAAAGAATATTTTATGATTGACTCAAACTAGTCCTTGCCTTTTATTCATATCATTTCAGTTTGGAAGAGGAAAAAAAAAAAAAGGTATCACAGTTTCAGTGGAACAAGTGGTCACTAAATACCCCACAACTTACTGAATGTTCTCACTGCAGCTATTCTCAAATCTTCCCCCCTCCCCAGTTAAATAGAAAAAACACTCACTTATTTGTTCTCCAAACAGACTGAAAACATAGAAATACCAAGTAGCACTGTTCTCTCAATAGTAGACATTCTCGAACAATAAAAGACACCTCCACTTATTATAATTAAAGGAAAACATTAATTTCTGTCTGGAACATCTGTTAACATCACAATTCACAATCTGCATCAAGAAAGTGTCTCGTCTTTTGTAAAACCTGACTATCCTTCCAGTAAGGAATTCAGTCTAATACATAGTCTCTTACGTAATCCATTCATTACCTAGCCTGATCTATACTGAAGTTTTGAGGCACCAATTCAAGGTATGGAGAAAAGAAAACACAGCCCACAGCCCTAACTAAGCTACAGCCTTCATCTGGGAAGCAGTGTTATAGTCTGTTACAGTAACAAACCTGTCATTACCAATATAGATGAATCTAATGTTAGTAACTGCACCTCTCCTAGAAAAAGTTAACACTGTACCAACAAACTCCTTGTAGTGTAAGCAAGACAAAAACCTGGATTATCTTGTAAAGACTGTTTTTGAACATCTGCTGCAAGTAACTTACAGGATACCAGACACTCCACTACAAAGATGTCGCTCATTTGTAGCGGATTCCTACCACTTGAGAAGGAGGTAACCAGGTTACCTCCTGTTACAATGTTACAATGCATTCCACACCAGAGAGAGAAAAAGGTTAATAATTCAAAGTAAAACCACATAACCTTGCAATTACCTTAGCAGTTTTTCTGCTGCAATGTTTGAGCTGTGTGTGCAATTTGCCACCAGGGAAATTCATATTTGAGCTATTACTTGCAAATGAAGTTTTATTTGATAGTTAATATACACTACTTCAAGATGAAGTTGACTATTCTTACAACAGCTCTTCTGTAAGAGAAAGGTTTAAGAAAACCTTTAGAGAAATTAAATGACATCTGCATTTTTATGATTAAATGCTGAAATGCAAAATTTTCCATTTGGCTATAAAAAACAGAAAGCTGCAAATTTACCTTTACTCCAACGCCACCATTCTTCATAGGAACCAATTCATAGCTCAACTTTTCTTTCTCCTTCTGAACAAAAGGATCATTAAATGCACGGCCATGAAATCTCTTGAAGTTAGATACGGTGTTGTTGGCATGAGTAATTTGCTGTAAAGAAAAACAGGATATTTCAGAAACTATTTTAATCATCCCGCAATGTTCCGCACTGCTCTCTATATGACCCCAAGCACCAGTCAAGCTTTAGGATGACTGTTACTTGTTACATTTATTTTTATAGCACTTGTAATTGCTATCTGGTACTACAGGTTCATACCAGCTCATTACTGCAGAAAATCTAAATGAGTATGACACAAGTAGCTCTAAAATCTTAAATCCTATTACTGTTCACCTGATCACTTCACGATATCTACTACTTTAGCCACGTATTTAGATGCAATTCAAATAATTACAGAAAGGAGCCAGTTTCACAAATACCGTCAATGACAGCAAGCTGGCACTGCAATCCCAGTCACCTCATCTCCAGTCATTTTTTTGCTCCCATTACATTAAGCATAAACAATTGTGTGTTCAGTCACTCAGTTTCAAGCTGATCAGTCTCCTGATCCAGTTCAGTACTTCCTGGCCTTTTTCCTGAGTTACTCTCAAACCAACTCAGTTCCTTGTTCACGTTCACCCAGCAGTCGCAAAAATTACTGTGTAAGACCAAAGGAAAATAAAGCGTGATAACAAACAGCTAGAAACACGAGACACTTTGGAACTAGGTGCCAGTTTAAAGTATATGTTGAAACACAGTGCAAGCTCCCTGTAGAACGAACCCAAAGAGGCATTCTTTATCAGCAGCACAATGCAGAATGCTCAAGTCAGAGTGGCCTATAAGAAATAAACCTCAAATACCTTCATGAGTGGAATGAAGCCTATTCTACTGGATGGAAACTACAGAAGTGCATTGTTCCCTCCTGTACAACTTCAGGTAGGCACCAACATATTGCGTGGTAGTAAGTCAAAGGATGAGTACGCTGAGGAAGACTTCTTGTCTCTGCTACCCTCAAAGGAAACTGTCACTTTTTTATTACATGCAAAATTAACCACTGCGAGATTGAAACTATATCTTACACTGGTAAATTATGTTTCTATGAGACTCCTCCATCAGGAAAACTCACTGACAAAGAAGCAGTCCATATCCATACTATTAAACACTAACTTCCAGTTAACATCGTGTGTGGGGAAGGATGCCACACCCAAACTCCCAACTGCAAATGGTTTCCAGCCCATTCTAATTGCCAAACAGTACCCAGCAATCGTAATACAGAACACTAGCTTGTACAGGCCAAAATCATGCCAGGAACTACTCCAATACTTTAACACAATAAAGTATTTATGTTCCAGTGTCCAAAACCATTTTCTGGCACAACTTCATTATTTGTATAGCCACAACTTCGTACTACTTGAATGTTCTGTAACTCACAACTATACTGTTGAAGAATGTGGATGCAAAAATAACTACTATGCAGTGCGCAGAGAAGCACACACACTCTGGTGGCTTTTTATAACCTAATTTAGAATTAAACTCAAAGCCTTTTCCAAGAGAACAATCTTAAGATATTTCAGAGTAATTTTATGCCATTAGAGCTCTACATGTTTCAATATCTTCCTGCTTAGTCACAATTTAAAAAGCTGAGAATTATGGCTGGTTAACTGACACACGGCTGCTCACATCCAGTGCTATCAAGACTTACTTAAAATGCCACAGAATTTCTTTTAAAAAAATCACTACTGTAAACAGCTCAAGTTTCAGAGTAAGAGACCACCTCCAAGTATCCTGAGGCCTTTTAGATATAGCCACATTCGTGAAGTGACTAGTCAAGATTTTTTTTTAAGTTAAGAAATTTATTACCCAAATGAGTAAGATAATCATTTTCCTTCTCAGTATGTGCAGCTACTACATCTTAAGTCACTGAAAATGTAACTCTCAGTTGTCCAAGTCAAAGAACTTCCACATTTACAAAAGAAACCTGACCTATACAACAGGTGATCAGAAAAATTGGATGGCTTACAAAAGGAATTCATGCTCTGAAATCTTTTATCACTTAAGTTTCACATTCTTTTCTTCTGGCAAAAATATTTTGTTTCAACTGCTACGTCAACTAAAAATGAAAGACTCAACATATTAACATCCCTAAAACACTAGCTAGTCTGAAGGCAATTGAAGTTCCAGGCAGGCAGAAAAAACAAGATCACTGTGCATATGTGCTTTTAAATGCAACTTTAAGAAAAAAATCTACTCCACTTCCAGTTTACTTGAAGTTCTGGACAGGATTTAATAGAATGATCTAGCAACATTATTATATCTTTCAGTTAGTCTCAAGAGAATCTACATAGAATTTAGGTCATTTGTTTTGACTAACAACTCACTCATTTTTGCACACTGATGAATTATTTTATGACTTAAAACAGCAGAAGCCAGCACCCAAACAGATGTAATGATAAAAGTGAAATTTTTGTAAGGCAAACCCTCCCCACACATTTACTGTATTACACTGAATGTTAACCTGTAACCAAAGCTGTATGTGTGCTTATGAACACACAAATTATTATTTCCTTGGCTGTTGAAAATTAAGGGAGCTGTTATAGTAGGAAAAAGTCTCCTTTAGTGCTCTCTCCATGGAAACCCACTGCAGTGCCTTCACTACACGAGATCTGCACAGGCCAACACAGACTGCACACTTAGTCTATACTGCCACTAGTTACATAACAACCTACAGAACAGGGGTTTACAATACTTGAGAATTTAATCACTGCATTTAGTTACTTTAAGATGTGTCAGAGTTGATATTTCTTTTTCAAATGAAAATATTATGTTTTTATTTATTTATGTATATAAATAAGTAAAACGTTAAATATTTCTCCAAATCCCTTTCAGAACAGCTCAAACAAAAATAAAGACTTACACTTTAAAAACACATAGACACTTCCTTCCCAAGGAAACCAAAGGTAACAAGGTACCTAAGTAGCTGTAAGAATCTGGGCCAAGGGTCATCACTCACACTTAATTTTAAAAAACTATATCCATTATTTAAAATGCTTTCCTTCAAATACAGAAAAATCCTACATGTAAGCATTAGGACAAGAAACTTTATGACTAAGTTGTCAAAAGAGAAACGTGCTCAACTGGAAGATACTTCAATTAATAAAAGAGAGCAGCAAAGTTC